TACCCCAGAGTCCAATGTATATAAAATAAAATATCTTATATCAACAAACATATGAACACAAATAATAATTATGTACGAGCACTTGGAGACTAACAGAACAAATCATTAATATACTTTATTATTGTTAATATAATGGTAGAAGAACAGTTTATAGCATTTTGCAAACTAACAGCTGAACGTAACTGTTGTTGCAAGTGCCTGTTCTGCAAGGTGGCTTTATTTGAAGATTCGGTCAGTGAGGTCTAAAAGACGCTGCGAATTTTACTCTGAACGTTCATTTCTTGTTTCTGCTACTCCCCCAGTGTGTCTTTTCTTGACTTTGAGAGAAGGGAGTATCCCCGGGAACATCCCAGGGACTTGTTCTTCGCTCACGATCCCCAGCGAAAAAAAAAATATTCCTGAATGATAGGGAATCCCAGTAAACACGCAGTCCCTGCAAGCACTGTTGCCAGCTTATCTGACCAATCAAAATTGAGAAAATTTTGACGGCTGACATGCTCGCCAACGTCATTTATTTAATATTGTGGCGGAACTCGTACCAACCTTTGGTTTTAAAAGAGACAGACATCTAAGAATCATGCATTTGTCTTTATCTAAGCTACGAACGGTCGTTTATTACTTCGCTTTCTGCTGGTACGTATTTATTTCCAAACCGGTTATTTACTTACTTACTAAAAATTAGTTTTTGTTTTTTTAAGCATGGTTTATTGCTTCTGTGCCCTATTGAGGTAAGGTAATATACTATTAAAATGAATACAGTATTAACTGCTTAAGGATATTCATTTACCGAATTGAAAGTAAAAGGGTAATTTCATTTATGTAGCCGCTTTCCTTCAGTACTTTATAATGGATCGTAAAATGAGTCTATGTTCCTTAAAGAGACTGAAGTAAATATACCTTTCAGGAAAAATAGAATAGCACAATGTAATCAATTGCAAATTGTGAAAAATCAAGGCCGCTATCGCTCAAGCAAAAGGGATCACTGATAGAATTTGTCCACAGCAGGTCCCAAATGACAAAGCTGATTCTCGTGTAGGATCCATAACGAATGGATATTTAATGAACAATACCATCTCCACCAACTATGTACATTGATTTTCGGGACTTACAATTTTATGGTCTGTTAGATCAATGGATATCTTGTCTCAGGGATGTTTTTGAACCCCAAATTATTCCATGACATCATCCACATCCTCAGTTATCATGTCAATTAATATGATATTATTGATATTCTCAAATTCCATTTTAAAACTAAATTAAGCACAACTCGTTAAAAAATACCGATACACCCGTTCCGCAGACCCAAAACATAAATAAATATGATTTGAGGTTGGAAAACCCGGCGAGATGCCTTTTCTACTGGGTCGTACCAGTCGATCACTCCCGCTCCCTGGGGAGCGGCTCCCTCTCTCATTTTTTTTCAAGAATACCATTTCGGGCGACTGTCATAAAACCCCCACCACTTCTCTCGGCCGTTCTACTCCCTAGTCGTCAAAGAAGGTACACAGAAATCCTTCAGCTACCATAGTTGATTTCTAACCTCCTAACCGTTTTATGCTTGCAATTGCTTCCCCAGAATCAGCAAAAAATGTTGCCGAGAAACGCATGAAGTTATGGCCTATGTCGTTCAGCATAGTTCCTATGCAATTTTAAGAAAGTTCTATTGCTTACTGCTTGTGATTTACAAATGATCTTGCGGGATGATTTTTGTAGTCCGTTATTTTAACTGTAATGGGGTTTCCTTTGTCTTCGATGTCACTGACAGTTATTTGTGTAAGTTTCGCCCGACGGCAATCTCCAGCCACACCAAGAATGCGAGCCACTTTGGTCAAAAGGTACCTACGCTCTTCATCTCTGGCTTCATATGTGCTGTTACCATAAATGTTGGCTGAGAATTATCTTGAACTATGTCCATAGTTATTCTAATTGGAGTTGAAATCACCAACTCGTTTAAGGCATAAAAATGTACCATGCCTAGTTCTCAGAACAACCTAATATAACTCTGTAATGGGACAAACTGAAGAATTAAATTGAACCATGTTCGTCACAGCCACGTGGTTCAATCTAAAAAACATGATCTCATGTTTCAAATTCAAATACTACACATTTATTATTTTGGAACTAAGTCCAACAATATTCTCAGCCGACATTACGTCAATGCCTTGGTTCATTTTACTACATGTTTTATCAAGGAATAATGCGACCAAAGTTGTTGGCTTTAAGAAGTTTTTCGTTGAAATGTATCCTTTTTTTGTTAAATTAGGTTGTGAAACGCTTTTTCACATCGTCCTTTTGATTTATCGGGAACTTAACGAATCTAAATTCGCCTTACCAGCAGGTTTCAATATTGCGTTTGGAAGCCATTCATCCGATGAATCCATTGTGCTGCTCTTTCTTCTGCTCCCTTAGCAGAGAAATTTCTTTTTATTGAACTGCCCTGTGCCTTCGACTACCGTATGACAGCCCCATTACCGAAGACTCAACTGATTAGGTATTATGGCATAAACATGATTCGATCACATTGAAAAAAGATTAGGAACATTTTTATATCATAAACATAAACTGAATGAGGACAAGCATAATAATTGCTTAAATGAGATAAAAATGTTGGCAAAGCTTTAAGGTAGATCCTCTTCACTCTTTAACTGTCGCTCTTCGAACAATATCTTAGATTAGATAGATCTATCCAAATAGACAGACTACACTTAATAACTGAAATGAATTCTAAATTAAGCATTTTCCAAATCCTTCTTAACTTCCCGCACGGCGTGCAGTAAAAGCTTTCTAACAGAAACGCGTGCGAGAAATTGTTCAATCGGACCCGCTCCTAGAAAAATCAAATTTTCCGATACATATTTGCCCCTACCGGTGTTGAATGCACTCCAAATGGAGATCTCCAATCCATCAACTGTACCCTCAAAATCTGTCTAAACTGTTTCAATTCCCTGTTCAGACAAAATCAATAGAAACCAAATGCCAGTTTATCGCCACCCACATTGAGCCCCATTATCGCTGACGTCATTCTTCGCCGTCATTCGACCCTCATGGGCAACGGCAACCATAAAAATTCCAGCCAGATGTCTTTTGTTTCCAACCGAAATCCCATAGCCGGTATTCAAGGCTATTTGCGCTGCTTCTGATTGTTGGGCCGCTGCGCCAATAGAAATCGACCAACTCCGCCTCCGGTGCCGCCCCTCAAGGTGTTGATTTAAGAAACGCTTTGGAAATAATTGACATCCCGTATTTACCCAATTAAAAATAAATTACTGGTGGGAGTTGGTGGAGTATAATTGTGAGTGGAAGGACGTCAAAACAATGCCTTTCCAAAATGGAAAAATGTTATTTTACCTGTAAAAATATCGCTTATAGAAATAGTTAATAATAACTTGTGAAATAAAGCGAACTTTTCATATTCGCACAGTTCGAACTTCAGGTTTCTGTTCTTGAAATGTCAGCCAGACTATTTATGCTTTCCTAACTAAATCTAGACGCTTGGGAAAACTTTTACTTATTATGCTTCTGTAAAACGATAAAAGAGTCAATGACGAGCAAAGGTAGTATTTCCTTAATATATCTGGGACAAACGCAATTAATACAAAAAACTATCTGAAGTATTACCTACTTTGTATATTTTCATAACTTTTTTACATGCGCGTTTTACGCTATAGCGTAATTTTCAATTTGCATATATCGCGATACCCAACGCAGAGTGATTCACTTTTTTTAACGTAATTCCAGGTATAAACCTGGAATTTAGAAGCGACCTTTGCGATGCAGTGAAAATTTTCCATTAACCCAATAAGAAGAGCGTGCCTTCAAAGAATAATTGTTGAATAGCTTAAGTTTAAGACCAGTTTAAGAGGGAACCTAGTCCATGTATGCGTTATTGCCAGCTCAAACAATCATACCTATACCACCTATTTGGAAATTTAATTTTTCAATTCGAGTTTAACCTCCGAATGTCTTGAGTTTGAAGCAAAACTTACGAACTCTAGTTTTGTAGTTCTAAATAGTCACTTGTAGTTAATTCGCTAAAAGGCCTAAGCTAGCATTAAAAAGTAATAAGAGAAGTGGAAGCAGTGGTAGACGTTTTTCCCGTCGGGCTTCAATGACCTCGACCCTTAAATTTGAGTCAAGCGACGTTGCCGGTTACATCCGCCGGGAATATCGTAGTTTCCGGATTTCAGACGGGACGGAACTTGTCTCACACAGCGGCGTTGCAGAAGTCTATTTTTTGCTGTTATTGCATTATTCAGTTCATTAGGTATGCGGAGTTTTGGTTAGGTAGCTTTAAAAACAGTAAGATCTTTAAAATGTCTGTATTAAATCCTACCACAGATTACTAAGGTGAAAACATGATGTTTTAACCTAATTTTTCTAATCTAAAAGTGGACGGTTTTTGATATGAGTGCGTCAAGTTAAGATCAAAAAGTGGAGGACAATTAATTATCTACTATAGAACAAAATCTCGTATGGGACGGTTTTAAGCGGTGAAGAATTAGAATTTATGCACTTTGAAAGGGGGCTGCGGAACTGCGAATCCTACTTAATTAAAATGGCATACTTTTTTGATCGCCTAATAACACTTATTTATGACGAGATTAGTGTTTATGCACATGTTTTATGAAAACACGGTCTCTTGATAGAAGTCTCTACAGGCCTTCCTTCTTGAGATATTTGTAGTTTAAAGTTCTTCGTATCTCTAGTGAAGTAATTATTTAAGCAATCCTCAAATTGTGCCAAACGTAGGTAAAGAGTGCACAAATAATGGCAGGCGCAGACGTTATTAGTGGAAAACCTTACCAAAATGAACCGCGCATGTGCATATATCAATAGCAACACATACAAACAGCAGGACTATTAGTGGCAAGCTGCAATGTGTGTTCGACATCTCTGTATTAAAAAAGTTGGTTTAGCTACCTTATTCGTTAGGCATCATTCCGATAACGCAAGCGTCGTGTCGTGTCTTCAGCTGTTCAAATGAGCTGTTCGTCTGAATAACCATAAAATATTTACTGTATACCTACTGTAATTTTTAATATGTGAAAGCTATTTCTAATCAGAGCACTGAACACATGTGAATAAACAAACGTCATTAGTCATCCATAACCTAAAAATAATATGATTATGCAAAACCGACTGAATCTGATTGATTTCTTTTATTGCATACGCTATGCGTTATTTCTTATTCCTGGTGCATAAAACCAGCATTAGTTGGGAATTTGGGCCACATTATCTGGACAATAAAAACACTCAATTCTTTACCGTTTTTCTTCGTTCGTTTACTCTGGATAATGTTTTTAAAATCACTGTCAAACAATGTAGTTGTCCGTGGAACATATTTGCTTTTCTCTCAGCCGAAGATGGTTTAAAATATAGCCAAAACGTTGGTCCAAACAGTATTTTTTCTTTTGTCCCTATTTGACCGAAAAATCCAATAGTGCCAGAGAACTTTAATCAATTAAAATTATTTCGAGGACATACTCGCTTGATCGCTAACCATAGGCGTAGCTAATGTTGAGATTAATCGATATTTTCGTTCGCGGTGTTGACAAGTTGAATATTTTATTATGTTTTATTGTGATTTCCAGGTTAATTTGTTCATTCAGTCACAGTTGCGAGTCATGTTTTAAAAAGTAAACTAATATAAGTTACCCCAAGTCTATTCGCAGCTACTGTTGCACGCAACCATGCAAATTTTGGTCTTGCATTGCTCATCACTAGCTACTGCTTTCCTGGTATATTCTGTGGATGCTACTTATAAATGTGTATGAAATTGATGTTCACATATTGAGAACCATTGAGAAAAATGTAAACAAATGCATCTGTTTATTCTGAAAGAGCAGAGTGATCAGACCCACTGCGCAACAGCATTTATTGCAGATGCAGAAAAATCGGCTTCATTTAACACAATGCTAACATTCAACGACTACAAGCCGATATTGATGATCACTGAGATCTAATAATTACTCATTTACTTTTTGTGAGCCATATTTAAGTAATAAAAAGTTAGTATTATCTACTAGTTGCGAAAATGTCTCGCTGAAAAAAAATTACAAAATTCGTGAGTACCTACTCTACATATTCACCATAAAATGAATGACGTGACAGTATGATAAGTTGCCCTATTAAAAACTCTTTGTGCACTGTTTTTTAACGTGCCTAATGAAGCTGAATTAAAAATATTGTGTCAAAAATGAAGAAACTTACAAAAGCTGACTACCACTACACAAAATCGGTGAATAAAAGAAAGTAATCACTTGATATCATGTTTCATATTTACAATGATGCTATGAATATCACGCAAATTCAAGACAATAGCACATTTTTATACAGCCAAAATGAACGACCAGGAAGCATGAGCGGAATTGAGTGAAAGGCGAAAGATGAAGAAACAAAATCAAAAGACAAAAATAAATTTAAACAAGGAACCATAAAAAAATATTACGCGTGGAAATAGAAGCTTGGGGTGACTTGAAGTTCTCGTTTTCTAGTTGGCAAATTTTAAATTTCAATAAAAGTCTAGTTTTAGAATAAGTGTAATAAACAATGTGTTCGATGAAAGATCGAGTATGTCGATATGTCACATTTCTCGGGGTGCCAAACAGAATTAAATGTACCAAAGAAACGAAAAGGCCAAAAAATTTATCAGCAGATTTACAGATTACCGAAGCATTAATTACGTCGCAAACTGACACTATGAAATGAGTTATCCATTTTGCGACTTGTTCTTGTTGGGTAGGCTCTTTTATCCTCCGAAAAAAGCTTCGTTTCTGTTACCGTTGCCCCAGACCGTTATATGCAAGTTTCGCCAATATTTTAAGTTCGCAATGCTAGTGTAGATATTCGGAGAACACGGCTTGAAAAGACGAGGTCACTTCCCACACTTCTGCGGAGCAAACGGCAAGTTTGCAATGAATGCTTGCGGATCGTGTCTTTTCTAAATGTGGTAATCTGAACATGTCGGTACCGACACAATATCCGTCAACCTGTGCTTTTTTCTTTCTCGTGCTACTTAACATAAAAAGAAAAACATTTGTTAATCGATTATGTCCGGACAAATCATGCGGGCGCTAAGAACACCTTACTTCGCAAAATTTTAACAAAAAAGAGCCAAATTACCAGAGAAACACACTTAGCCTTAACCTTACTTATACTTCACATTATGTGGAATATGGGAAAAAATCTAAGTCCTAAAAATAATTTCCAAAGTCGGCAAATTCATGGGGAAATAGGGTATTTTACACGTTTTGCTATAATCTCAATCAGAGCTTTATAGAAAGTGAAACATTTTTGCGCAAACAATGTTGGTTATGTATTTTAATCTGCTGCACTCAAATCTAAGCAAAAACAGCGTCTTCGGATTATGACTTTTCCGGAAAAATCGATTAAACTCAGAAAAACATGATTTTTGGTGGTAAAATGACGATTATTTCATTTTGTGTTTAAACTGTTTAGTATTAGTAAATAATTTTTCGTCATGATCAAGTATTTGTAAATAAAACAAATAAATATCAAACAGTTTTTTGTTACAATTGCGGAAAATCCCAGAAAATTACGGATTTTCTCAGTTGTATTCAGAAAAAAAATTTACTCTTAAATTTGAATTATGGTGAATATTACTCTAGAAAATGCTCGTAAAAACTCTTAAATACTTTGTTACCTTTCAATAAAATCTCGGAAAAATACGGAAAAATCCTGATTTCCATAGTTTTACTACAAAACTAATGTTCACTCTATAAATTGCGTCAGACTATACCTTTCTTGGGTACTATCTATCGCAGATAAAGAATTAATTATAAAAGCTCATATATGCCATATTGCTGGCCAACAAATAACCGGAAAATCTCCGATTTTAGGAGTTTTGGTAAGGTTGGATACGGTCTATCATACCTTGATAGATTCGTATGGTAGGTAAGATATTGCTAGTAAATAACATGTTACAAGCTTTGAAATAACATGTTACCGATACGATGCCAGAAAACTCTGAGAAGCCCCGGTTTTACTAGTTGTATGCTCAGAACTAACATTTACTCTATTGCGTCAGACTAATCGCTCTATGAGTATTTCTGATCGCAAATAAAGATTTTTTTAAAAGTTGATTATTACCTTGTGCCAACGGAATACTGAAAACCCTCGGAAAACCCCGAACTTGCCTAGTTTTACCCACGGAACTCACATGCAGTCTATAATTTGCGCCAGACTAAAAGAAAGAAGGAAGGCGTCTTTTCCTTCAGCATTTATATTTCTTCAATCGGGTGACGGTTCTCTTATTTGTCAGCAGATCTGGAGTGAAGGGTCGATATTTCCTGAGAAACTGTTTTCAGTTGTAGGTCCTTCCTGATTAATTCATTTGGGACAAATCTGTAATGCATTTACGATTTCTCTCAGGCATTTCGATTGAAATCACTCATAAATTTCCTATTTGATGTAGGACCGTTGCCCCATAGTTCAGCACCATACATACAAAATGGTTTGAGTGTGCATTTACTATACAAATATGGATTTCTTCTTGTTTTTCGAGGGATAGTTTGGGTTAGTTGTGGGGATCTTCTTCCTAGCAACCAATACATGTTTCTTTAAAAAGAAGGAAAGAAATAAGCGGCTGTGTAATGAAGAAAATCCAATCAAAGGGGATGCACATTTTTCTTAGCTTTAGGTTTAGTTGCTTGCGCATCGTCCAGATATGGTCACGCCAAGTTAGACGACGATCCAGGTGAAGTTCAAGATACTTGCCATGAGTATTCTGAGTAGGGCACATCTTCCGTCGCAAAGTGAAAGTAACGTGTGTCGATTTATTCTCGTTTACCTGGATTCTCCAAATTTTAAACCATTTTCTGATTTTGTTTAGATAGTTTTGTAATTTTTCAGAAGCTATTGATGGGTTGGTATCTGAAGTTAATGCAGTCATCAGCGTATGTAGCAACCATTGTCTTACCGTCGTAGGATATATCTTTCGTGTAAAGCAGGTACAATATTGGAACCAAAGACATTAATAAATAGACCAAGCTAGTCATTCATAAATCCCGATTTGTTTGGGTCCAACATTAAATTCCATCGATCGGCGATTTATCAATGAAAARCAGGTGGTAGGGATAAAGTAGGTACCGAGCAAAGAGTAGAATTAATCGGAAAATCAACTGGCCTGGCTGCTAGCCATAGGCGTAGTAAAAATCTGTATTATCGATTTATTCTAAGCATGAAAGATTCATTAATTTTCTGACCTTTCTCTCTGCATTATATGTTTGAAATTATAAACGCTATAATAGTAGCGAAATTTTTTTAAGCATTTGATAGCGATTCAATAGGGATCGAATATGACTGTTAGCTTATAAATTCAAAGCAACTCACGCCACTGGTCCCTGTTTACAATCGTGCAAAACAGTACAGGTTAGGAAAGTTTAGGACAATTTTCCTGTAGTTGAAACGACTTTGCACGATTTCTTTTAAGCGTAACAGTTTATTAATATCACGATTATCACTTGTTATCACCAAAAACACGAGAAATTGCCTTACTTACTTGTCCAACAAATCCTCTTCGCCTCTTACTATCATGTCACTATCACGTACTCCCCCCTTTGCGGTGTTGTCATGATAAATGTTTCATTATGTTTTCTGGTAATTACCACCAAACATTCTTATGAATTTTTAAATTTAAAATTTCGACGCTGTTATTTTAATGACCTTTGCTTGTCGCTTCTTACAAACTAAGCAAATTAACATTAAATATATTTATGGCTATTTCCTGCTATTTTCTTGTTGATGCCACTCATATATATCAAATTGAATACCGAGCCGGCAAAGCAGCCTCGTAAGTACCTACTTTTGTATAGACTGTGAACCAATGTTGCTACCATAGAAAAACGTAAACAAATGCATCTGTTTAATCTGAGGTTGGAACCTTAAACGCTTCCCTGTGGACCTCCGGCTCTGTTGGGGTATAGTTTTGTGGACTACTTAGACATCTTGAGTAGCAACGTCTAGAAATACTGTAGATCAATATTCCATTTCTTCAAAAGCATTCTTGATTTTCCTAGTTATTCTATTTACTTGCTCAGTTACGAAAGCCAAATTGGTGATCAGGAATTAGCTTGTTCACAGATATGATTTTGTTGATCCTCTTGAGGAAAACTTTTTCGCACACTTTAGTATAGGAAGAAGACTTATTGCCCTAAGTATAGGAAGTCACCAGACCGGGATCCTTACCTAGTTTTGGGATAGGAATTATCTGTGATACCTTCCACTGATCAGGAAAGTGTCCCGGCGAAAGGTGGCATTGGTTAAAATCGATATGAATCTTATTGCTTTGCCGGATCATTCTTTTAGTATTTTGCCTGTAATACCATTGTATCCTGGAGCCTTCTTAGCTTTGAGGTTCCTAATTATTTGTTTTACTTCTTAGTAATTTGCGTTTTTGATAGGCGTGTCAGATACCTCGTGAGGCT